AAAGAATAATAGTATTTTATGCTTGTAAAATTGCTTTGAATTCAGCACTTGAACTGTGAAGGTGATAAAATGATATACTTTGTAAATATATGACCAAAGAACTACACACTTATATAATGGGAAAATGCAGAGGTTAATAATATTAATGTAGCAATTGTCATATCTATCCACCTGTTACAGGCTTTTATCTTTTGTTCTACTTACACTTGACCCAATCTTCATGTTAATCTGTTAATGATATTAATGTCAATTAAACTGGTGTTTGTCAGTGATTCTTCACCATCTTTTATAATATTTAATACTGAAAAATTATTTCACAACAGCTTATAAATTGAAGAATGCTTGTAGTTTTAAATATTGTAATTCTAGATGATCACGTTAGTAACTTACTTAAGGTTATTGATAAGTTTTACAAAATTTATTTGATTCCGAGATTTTTAAGCATGTAAATGGTGTGTTAAAGAGGCATGTTTGGAATATGGAAAATACAGAATTCTTATAACACAGGTTTATATTGCATAATTGATTCGAATATTGGAAAAACACAAATATGAAAAATAAAACAGAAATTTCGTATTGTTTTTTTCTCTCTCTCTGTTTAGTTCCTCGGTGTTATTCAGCGTTAAGTTTCCGCACTTACAATGCTAAAGTTCGATTCCGCGCGTTGGAAAGAGCACAGATAAATGAAACAACAAATAACTTGTGAATATATTATTTGTAATATTAGTCACGAAAATTTTTCAGAGGAAATAAAACAAGCCGCATATATATTACATAAAAATTTGATATCAAATCATCAGTAGAATGTATCATGGCAGAAAAGACATGTTTCGAACCCACACAGATTTAACCCCCGTTTTAAAGTGTCTGATGTGGAAGGAAATAAATGAAAAATCTGAATATTTTAGAATTATTAGCTAACGTCTGTGGCCAAGCCCCAAAAATCTCACATCTAAATAACCATTCATCCAGCGTTAGAATGGCAGATGCCTCTAAACCAACGTCCTCCCAGTGACTCAGCGGTAAGCTTGAGGGCTTATATCACTAAAATCTGGGGTTCGATTCGGTACGATACAGAGCAGATAGCCCACTGTGTAGCTTTGTCTTTAAACAAACGAATCAAAAGCAACACAGTAAGGAATTGATAGAACGAACAACATTGGTTGTTAGAGATGTACCATTGAGTTGATAAACATCCTGTGAAGTTAACATTCCTTAACAGCCACACACCTATACAAACTAATACTACATAATTGGCACTTATCTCTCATTTATCAATAATGTATCACAGTAATCGGTCTAAACCTTCTGATGACCTATATCTGCTGTGACTACCGCGGGTATTGAAGCCCGATTTTTACCGTTTCAAGTCCTCAAACTTACCGCTGAACCACCAGAAGGCTTCGATAAAGTACGTGTTTAGTCGTTTAAACGATCTTTATAACCTTCAGTAACAACATACGTACGTATTTAGTGGGAATATAAGAATGTGAATATGTTACTCACAGTGAATGATAATAGGGAGATATACGCTACCAACATTAATCATGCTTTAAAACTACTGTACATTGGTTGAAATCAGCTCTAAAGTTTCTGTTTAAAATACACATGAGATTTATATTAGGTTTTGAAAAGGTGACGTGGAATAGCACACATACACACACACATACACACACACTCCTTCAATATTAATATTCTTTACATACGCAGCCCGCAGTTTATAACATAATTCAACGCATTTTTGTCTTTACCAATTATATGTCAGAAAAAGGAGAAACTGTCATCTAGTGCTGTCAGGCTTAATTAGTACTTTAATATATTAGACAGCACCGGAATTATGTTTGAGAAAAATAAATAAGTATACATATATATTGTTTAATAATTGGATAGTATAGCCACCGCCACATAGTCCAAAAATGTTTTCCTTATCTTAGGTGTTTGTCGGGATGCTTATTTAAGTATTGTATTTCATTTGACTTCATGTCTCGTAATTTCAAAAGGGAATTAAAACATTAGTTTCTATGAAAGTGAGGTTCAGGTTGAATTTGAGATTATTTTACTAGGTTTTACATAAAATTGCGTTAAGCACTTAGAATACATATAAAGGCAAATATCGGAATTATAGAATGTTTAGGGAAATTCTAATTCATATAGGAAGCTCATGTAATTAATATCTGAATTTATTTTGTTTGTTTATTTTATTGAAAGTACTATTTCTGTCTATATCCCTTTGTCCCACAATGGCACAGCGGTTTGTCTGCAGAATTATACTGATAGAAACCGGGTTTCGATACCTGTGGTGGACAGAGCACAGATAGCCCTTTATGTAGTGTTGTGTTTAACAACAACCTCTTTTTTTTTTAGTGTCTATAAAGTCTAGAATCAGAGAATTGTGTAGAGACATAAAAAAATACTGTACCTGCTAACTTGTTAACTGTACGTTTTATACACGCACATTTTGTAAAATCTTTATCAGAGACATTGACATCAATGATTGCTTTGAGTATGTGGATGTAGGCGTGTCACATAAATCAGTATCATTTGTCAAAGAAGTACTCTGACGTAAACTCTAGTTATATACAAGTAGAAGACTGGATCGAGTAAATGTCAATGGAGAGAAGTTTGAGTTTGGCGAGAAATAAAAGAAAAAACGTCTACACGTCAGGCAACAACAACAACAAAATCGTATAATGACCACTGATGAGTATATCACTCGAAGTGTATCAACTGTCAATAAAGGTTGTTGGCATGATATACTATCACGTATATAGATATGTACATATTTTTAAGCAGGAGGGATCTGACAATAGCTGTTTATTGAAAAGTTGATGCTTTTAAAAACATTTTTAAACAAACAATAGCTACAATGTATATCAGGCATATCCTTTTCTCCAAATGTGTTTGTTAATTTGTATGCTTTACACACAACTTTCGTTAATTTTTATGTACCTTCGAATTGGTATTATATACTTAATGTGTGCCACAAACCGTCTGCGAAGTTTGAGAACTCATCAGAGCGGCAACATCTCATTGTAATATCTACAGATTTACATATCACCCTCACTGGATGAATCTGATTAATCCTCAGGCAACATCTCATTGTAATATCTACAGATTTACATATCACCCTCACTGGATGAATCTGATTAATCCTCAGGCAACATCTCATTGTAATATCTACAGATTTACATATCACCCTCACTGGATGAATCTGATTAATCCACAGGCAACATCTCTTTGTAATATCTACAGATTTACATGTCACCCTCACTGGTGAATCTGATTAATCCTCAAATTACCAACTTGTGGTGTTATCCACAGAATGCATCATATTGAGTAATATTTTGTATGTGTTACAATATTCGATGTAAAGGATTGACTAACCAAACTAAGTGAATCACTAATTTTCTGAGTGAAGTACTTTGTGAAGTTTAGCAATAGTTAGTGGTATTAATGAAGTACTTAGTGAAGCTCGGCAATAGTTAGTGGTATTAATGAAGTACTTATTGAAGCTCGGCAATAGTTAGTGGTAATAATGAAGTACTTATTGAAGCTCGGCAATAGTTAGTGGTATTAATGAAGTACTTAGTGAAGCTCGGCAATAGTTAGTGGTATTAATGAAGTACTTAGTGAAGCTCGGCAATAGTTAGTGGTATTAATGAAGTACTTAGTGAAGCTCGGCAATAGTTAGTGGTATTAATGAAGTACTTATTGAAGCTCGGCAATAGTTAGTGGTATTAATTATAAACTGATGATACTTTTGTGTACCTGTTTTTGTATGACCCGTGTTATTAGAAACCTTGAAAACAACTTAATGGATCCAAAAGCAATTTGATGCGTAAAGTTTTTTGTTTTGTTTTTTAAAAGATGTTTAAAAGACGACGAGTTCCGACCCCGTTAGTAATATCAGGTTTGATGTATATAAGTATTGGAGTGATCCAATTTTTTTAAATTCTGTATAACCATGTTTGTTAATTCATTGTGTTACGTAAGAACATTGATTTATTTTTTATGGTTTAAACATCTAAGGTTTGGCGTGGATGAGTCGGTTAACTACTTAAGATATTTAATTTGTCGAAGCTCACCAAGTAGAGGTTGAAGTACTCGCTACATGGTTGACAGTGAAGTAATAGCTTTCTATTTTTCTCTGCAGGATTTAGTGTGAAGTAATTAGATTTACTACATATTTTACTTAACATTTTTTGCAGGAGTAATTAATTTTACTGTATAATTTGGTGAAGTTTACCAACAAAGTTGAAGGTATAAGAGTTACTTTCAAAAATTTATGTAAATTTCTACTTTATAGATAAACTATTATCAGTATTGAATTACCTGTAACATTGTTCATCACGTTGAAAATGCATTAGATGAAATTTTTATTATGAAGTAGAAATGGTGGAATAAAAATGTATTATTGTGTTTTTAATTCACCCACTCAGTGTAGACGATTTTTAGAAGTTCTGCGCAGCACTTATAATTTTTCTTCAATATTCTAGAAAAACAGATTCCGCTGGGATTTCCGGACTTCACACTTCAACCTTCTTTGCAGGGTATTGAGAGAGGACACAGCGCTTTGTTACCCTGTCAAGCTACAGGAAACCCTCCACCTGTCATCTATTGGTTAAAAGACTTTGTGCCGGTAAAGATGGATGATCCCAGGGTGAAATTGATGCAAGGAGGTATGTATGTATGTGCAAGTATAACATACAACTTGATATCATTATAACTTTTTATATTTTTCTCTTTCAAGATGTCTGTGGAATTTATTAGGGGGTTACGTTACAATATATACGTGTGTGTGTGAATCACGTTTTTTTATTGAAGACAATAAGTCGGAAATTAATAATCAATTAGCTTTTCCAGGTTAAACGTTAAGTAGTCACAACTATTAATAAACCACATTTGCTGCATGGGAAAACGTAACCACTCCTAAGCTCAGGGTTTCCAGAACGTTCGATGGCAGTTACCATTCAGATACCAGTATGACGTACAGAAGCAGTCTGTAGTGTTCTAGTGGTCTTTTTCTAATTTCATGTGCCAGTATTATCGTTTCCCCTTTTTTAATCTGAATGATAGCAGATTAAGTTTATATATTCCCTCTATTTTAAGTTTCAATACATTTCTGAGAAAAACGACATCTAGACTTTTTTATGATACCTAAGTTAGAAGATTAACCGTATTTGAATATATCGAAAGAAATCAAATACTACATCTTACAAAAAGTACTTTTTAACGATCTTTACCAATATTCAACGTCCAAAACCCATTCCCTTCGTGTTAAAACAAAAATACGAACAAATCTTATATTCTAAAAGTTAGACAATGAACAGAGGCGGAAATATTGACTTCCTGTCAGCATTTATTAAAATTTATGACTCCTTTCTGTAATGCTTTCTATATGGTAATGGATGTTTCAAATACATGGGTGGTTTTCATTAACAACAGCCTTTGACGATACAAATATTGCTCGTATAATCCTGTTTTATATGTTCTCGCTGAAGAGATTTTTTTTCGTTTTGTATAGGTCGGCCTTTCCAGTTAGGGTTTCATTTTTCTTTGTGTGTGTTTTTAATAGTGTTAGATTTTAGTTTCTGTTGGAAATGGTATAAATTACACTTACGGTAATGCCACTATAAATACGAAACTCCTGGTGAAAGTTATATATACCAGTAAAAGTATTATTTAGACGAAAGCTAAAAGTGTTAGTTGTAGTTAAAATGTGCCACGAGAATGTGTGTGTGTCTATATATGTATACCATAAACTCACAGTATAGCTGGACGCGACTCCACTTTTCACAAGACAGTAGGCCAGACCTAAAAGTTTACTTACGCCATAAGTCTCCAGCACTTTTGCTAAATAATGCTTCATACCACTTATACAAAAAACATAATTGTGTATTAGTTCTCTGTAGTATTGTAGATTATATGTTTAGAAGTAAAATTTCTGAATATATAAAATTAGAATATATGAAAACAGAAGTAATAACTGAAATTTCATAAACTTCTGACCGTATCTGTTTCCGACAACTTTTTTGATAACTCCAGTGCTGGCATTTTGAAAATAATGTTAAAAAAGCGGTTAACAATTGAAAATTTAATTGCTGGGATCCTTTTTTAATAAAACTGTGTGATAAAACATAAACATAAATAAGTATTAGTATTGATGCTATTTTTTCGCCTTATGCTCGAAATCAGTCAGTACTGGTTTTATTATTATTACAGAATCGTAATATATATCACTGACTTGGTAATTATTCCTAAGAAACTTATTCCGCAGATATCAAGAATGCTACATACCAACTACCGTAAAAAACAGAGTACATTATTTAGATCATGATAATTAAATCTATAATGGATTTGTTAAATTTTCTTTTTGTTCTTAGAAAAGAAGAGAACGTCCTTTCCAGTTTATGGGTTGCTCTTATATTCTACATAGTGTGGTGGTTGACTCGCAATTTGCGGGTTCGTATCCCGTCATCTAACGTGCTAGTTCTTTTAGTCGTGAGGGGGTTGTAAGGTTACGATCAATCCCACTATTCGTTGTTAAAGAGTAGCCCAAGAACTGGCGATGGGTGTTATTGACTAGCTGCCTTTCTTCTAGTCTACCACTTCAAAATTAGGGACGGCTAGCGTAGATAACCCTCCATTTGTTTTGTTTAACAAAAACCAACCAACCTATATTCTATTGATATAGAATTATATATTGTAGATATCTGTTACATCTTAACTCCAAGAGCATGCCATTGTTTGTGAGGAATGGGGTTTATCCTAAAAGTGTGGTTATTTTCTAACACAGATTTGAGATATTTGCAAAACATAATAATATTAAACGAGCACATTAGGGTTGATGGTTGAATGTTATACTTTCTATAAAATGTACCGGGTGAAAAATGACATATATTCCTAACTGTTTTAATTCTTCAGTAGCCATTTACAAATTTGTTGCTCATGCCCGTTGGTTTCTAGTGTGTTTGTGTGTGTGATGTAGTAGTGACATCGTGGAATCTATGGAATCTAGAACTTTCATTGTTTTTTATCTGGTGATCTGACTAGACATATGTGTTATGAACTAAAATAATATGAAATGCTATATGAATAAATCTTTAAACGTTGTCAGCAAAGTTGTTATTTTCCTTTGTTCTGTAAGAAAGGAAGTTTTAAATAGGTCGTGCGTCCTTTTTCTTTAAGACAGAGCGTTGTAGTCTCTAAACAGAACTTACTTATATAAAGGTCTTATGCGTCCTTGCTTTATTAGCCAAGAGGTCAAGTTGTTTCTCACAGTATTTTGGTGAGGTGTATTTCTTAAAAGCAATATGTGTGTATACGTGTGTGTATTAATAAAATAATATCTGCAAAGTCTTTCATAATTTTCATTTTTCTCTCTCAACCGGTTTCATAATCTTTTACTCTTCAGAATTAATTAATTAACGAAACTAAAAACTAGGATAAAATCCTTTACCTAAAATTAAATAAACAAACAAACAAAAAGTGGTAGAGCATACACTAAAGTTAATGTGAATTATTTCTACTGTGTACAGAATAGAAAAATCTAAAAAAAACATATTGTCTGAAACGTCAACTTTATATAAATATAAGTTACATCTCATTAGAAGAAACTTTGAAAAAATGATAAAATATTTTTCACAATTCAATAAAACGTTTTCTATATTTTTTGTGATTTGTAATTGTGCAGTTACAAAAATATTTCCTTCCATGTAAGAGACTGTGTATGTATTCCTGATACGAGAATTTTATAAAAATGATTCATAAACGTCAGTTTTCAATTTCCTCCACGTGTATTTCGTTATATACAACAAAAATTAAAGCATAAAAAAATCTTTACTTGAATCTTAAATAAGTTTATTGTTAATATATATTAACTTCTCGGTAGGTCTGAAAATCAACTTATTGGTTTCGTACATGAAAAAATACCTTATTCTGATTTCTTTCGTTTTTTCTATTATTTAAAATTATTTGCAGGTTTGTCGTTGGCTCCTTGAAAGGATTGTTTGCTTGGTTTTAAGAATATAATTCAAATTAGAATTACAAATTTCTTTACTTTTTGAATACTGTTAATTTTGGCGAAATAAAGATTTTCTTTATCACAATTATTATGAATCTGGTTATTGTTTATAGTAGCTAAATTAAAACTTCTGTTTACTATACTATTATACTACTAGGTTGATATATTTTAGATGACTATGTCAGTGTGTGTATTGTGAACCTATTTTAGCATAGAAGAACGGTCAAAAATATTTTTAACATTTTTATTTCCCAGAAACATAAAAACACTTCTTTTCTATGTGGTTTTTCGCTAACTTGCCTCATTAAAAAGATGTGCGCG